CGACATTTTTTTTTTAGATATAATGAAAGTTTTATTTGAATTTTTTCAACTTATGTTCATAAGTCACCAAGTTTTCAGTCTTACATTCTAAATTTCATTCTCATATTTTCCCTCTTTTATAAATTACCGAGTAAGTGGAAGATTAATTTGAGAAAAATCTACTCATAGAATTGATCTAATTTTAAGTAAGTACTAAGTTTATAACCTAGCGTTTATTTTAAAAAAACTTGTCTCTTATAAATCATACAGGAAAGCCAAGAATTCTTATCTCAAAAACGCAATCGAGGCATGCATGACTAACCAAGTAATCAAGCTCAGAGAAAAAGAAAAATTTCATCAACGATAATAAAAAAAATTCCAATCGATTTCATTATTGGGTCCTTTAAAAGGATTATATTTATTGAAACTTTCTTTAAAACGTAAGTATAAGAGTCTTATATATTTTTTTTTAGAAAAAGAAAAGGAAAAAAATCTGCAATGCAATATGTCATTTACTCACAGGAAAAAAAGTAGTCGACCTGACAATACTGCAAAACAAAAACCACAAAACGAGAAGAGCAGTAAGCATACATTAATGTAGTACATCAAACATTTATATTTGTATGTTTTTTTGTCTTTCGTCTTCATTTTGTGCACATAGCACATTTCGCCGTGATCTTCAAATTTCATATGTGCTTTTTTTTCATTTTTTGTTCATTTTTTTTTTTTTTTATTACAAACAAACGTCAACCGAAATTTGCCTTACATCCACACGCACACATATTACCACTCGTCATACAAAAAGTTTTGCGTAGGAAAATATAAATGAAATTCAACTGTATCTCTCTTTGTTTCATTTTTTTCTTTTTTTTTCTTTTTCTTTTTCTTTTTCTTTTGTCCTGAAATCTTTTTTCAGACTTTTGGGTTCGAAAAACAATCGTTCCACTATATTCTTAAATGTCTCACTCTCTCTTTCTCTTTCGTTCTCATTTCAATTTTCATTCATGCGTAGAATTCTCCTCGTTCATATTTCATTTTTTTTTTTTTTCATCTCTTTATATATATATATATATATATTTTTTTTTGTTTGTTATTTGTATGTTTGCTCGCTCTTTTACATCTCATATTATTCTCGAACTATATTTTTTTATTCTTTTGTTTTAAATCGACTACTCGCACGCCTTAGTTATTAAAATATAATAATTTCAATTGTCTCTCTCTTTTTCTCTCTCTAGAATAAAATATTAATTTCATCTGTTTTTGTTTCACTCACTCTCCATTCTCTCTGTTTCTTCCTTTCATTCTTTATATATCTCGTCCTTTCTCTCTTTCTCTCTCTTTCTCTTTGTCTTAAGCATCACCCATGCATCGGCTATACAACTCATAAAATATACAGGCTCGCATAATCTCCTAACCTTAGATTGTTTACACATTTTTATTCTGGTCGTTCCATAATTATTATTATTTTATCCTTCCCGTATATCGCGAACAATAAAAATGGCAATCGAATACGCAACATGATCAAGGGATTCATTTCATAGTGATAACGGATGCACGACATGTTCACGATACATTTTTTTTTTTTTTAATTTTCTAATAAAACGAATGTAAACTTTCAGTAAATTCCTATATTATCATTGTCTGTATAAAGTAAGAAGTAAAAAAAAAAAATAAAAAAAATAAAATTTTAAAATAAAAATTCTAATTTAAAATAGAAGAAGAAAAAAAATGTCTATTTGTAAAATAAAATTTTTATGAAACAATTTAATTCAATTCATTCAAAAATGGTGACACAAATTTCTCGTCCATCCGTTACCTAGATACTTATAAACTAATCCTTACGTAGTGGCTAGACTAGCTAGAACGGTATACGCTTTTTTTCATGTGAATTCTCTCGCTTATCTAAATTGTCTCGCCAAAGAAAAAAATTAAGAAAACTTTGCCGGAGCGAAATAAATCTTGTCTTCTCATTGGAAGGAAAGTCGATTCATACCGACATATGCGGTGGTCTTCTCGACTGAGAAGCGCCTCAATTCCACATGGATTCGAAAAAAAAGAGTGTTATCGCGAAATGTCGGCGTCATTTGTTCATCGTATATATATATATATATATATTTTAAATCTTTTTATTATTTTTCATTAATTCATTATTATTTTTTTTCAAATTTTTTCTTATTCGCTTCCAATTATCATTAAAATTATTATTGAAATGGAAGCAAAATTGATCGAATCGAACGATCAAAAAAATGTATATTTGGTATATAAAAAAAAAACGATCAAGAACACCGACATTTCTTTCGATCTATCTATTTACGTTAATCTACGTTATTTACAAATCTACAAGCGAACGTGCCTCGTCTATGTTGTCTACCAGTAGGCTACTTTTCACAGGATCGAAGCGTCGAAAAAATCGTCATCGAAGAAACGACATCTCAAATCGACAAATCGTCGTTTTTCATCATTTATACGACTCAGTAGTCTTCTTTTTAATCTTCAAAGTATAAGCCAATAGCGGCTGTATTAAAAATTATCGATAGATTCAAATTTATTCGATTTAGCGTTATCGCTAACTGTTAAAGTCAAAAATAACTTAGAATCTTGAACGTTAAACATCATTTGAACTATGTCCATAATGATTTAAGAAAGTTATTATTTTTTTTTTTATCTTTCACGCTTTTCATGCTTTTATATACTTTTTTTATATACAATCATCAAAAGATGGATGAAAACCATCGAGCCGATGAATGATACAGAGAAATTCGACAATTTATCGATAATATATATGTATATGTATATATTTTTCTTTTTTCTTGTCGTTTTTTTTTTTGTTGCCCTTAATGGAAAAATACTATGCAATGTACAGATTGTATACGTTGTCCAAGAATCTATCGAATTTATCATCGCCAGGTTTATAATTAACCTAACCTATATGGTGAAGATTTGCGATAGCGTGCACGAACGACAATAACAATGAATATACATTAGAAGATAGAAATCTATGGAAATCGATCAGTTCTATCTAAGACAAATTAGTGAGCGATCCTGGTATGCTATGATCTATTTACACGCGACAATCATACGATGTAAGTACTCTGATTTGCTTGTCTCGCCGATGTAAATATCGCATAAACGCACAATTATTATTGTATCTGCAATTTGTACTAGGATCATGTATCATGCTCCGCTAGGATTAATTGTTCCTCTTATAAAAGGAAACTAGAGGACACAGTCGAAAGACGATACGTTTAATAAACGTATAATAAATAGCTAAGATGTATCGATAATCGGCGGAAAATCGAAAATCTCGTGATTGTACTTACACCGTTAGAGAGATTGTCTGTATATATATCTCTGATAGATTTATATCCCTCTACGAGGATTTGTCGTAGTATGTAAAGAAACAATCACGATTTTATCGGATCGTGATCAAGAAGAATCAAGAAGTGGTTGCAGTTTTCTCGCTATTCAGAGAGATACAAAAAAATCATAAAAAAAAAAGAAAGACACCTTAATTCTACATGGGATGGTTGCACAAGGCTCGCAAAATGAACGCATTTCAAAAAATATTTGAAACGTTTTGCAAATGTCAACTTATCGTTAATCGCAACAGTAATACACGCGCAAGTGAACAAAAAATATTGTGTAGCACCTATCTCATATCACTATGGACTCAATGCTCGAGATATTCTCGATCATTTCGAGTAATCCATCGAATCTCTTCTTTTCGTATTGTCAAGAAATTAAAAAGAAAAGATATAGGAAATGGGACGTGCACTCGCATTAATCTCTCGATCTTATTATATCGATGCATCAATGCTGTTCAAATTGATTTCTGCAACCAAATAATCTTTCTTTTTTTTTTTTGGAATTTCTCTTGTTATTATTAAATTAAATTAGGATAGTTAATATTTAGTAAGTATACATGATCACCAAAGAAAATTTTATAAAAAAATAATGTCAATTAGTACGTTTAATATAACTAGTAGTAATTTGTTTCAAAGAGAACATTAATTGTATAAAAAAAAAATTATAAATAATCGTGTTATAGCTTAACTTCTTGAGAAATATTAGCATATTTATTTTTAATTTTTGACAATTCAAAAGATATAATGAATATTATTTTATATTGCATGATATTCTTTCATGAATAATTTATATTAACATTTAATAAGAACATTATTTTATTTTCAGAAAAATTAATCTTTATAATAATCTTTATCTTATAAATCGATCCCTCAAAAGGCTAAAGAAACTAATAACTTGTTAAAAATTCAAATATTAGAGAAAAGGTATTAAAAAAAAATACTTAATTGTATTGACTTATTACTTTGATCATTTTTTACATCTATCTCATTTAAATTACTAGATTAAACAATATTTTTTTTTCGCTTAGCGAAAATTTAAAGCTTCTTGGTGAAGCTTATCAAAACCTTTGAATGAAAATTTTATCCTGAAAGGATAATAAGCGTATTATTATATATTTTTTCATCTCTATCAATAAAATTATATATAAAAAAAAAAAAAGAATAAAACCAAATGAACTTTTGTTTATGAACAGCATTGAAGCAATTAAATTTAACAATACTTATTAATAGATTAGAATTTATAGATTAAGAAATTAATGCGAGAAAGTGATATTTAATCTAAGTACGTTGCGTCTCATAAGTTCCGATTGCAGGAGTATTAAAAAGAACTACTTAGTTGTCGAAAAATATCAACAGAACAGACTATTTCCGTTCGCAGCTTGCAACTTCAACTTTATATCTCTGCGTATAGAGTTTGCATAATCGGACTACAAGATTCGCAAAAAATCTCTTTTTTTCATTTTTGCTTAATAAATGTAGATATATATATGTATTGTATTTTCGTTTAGACAACAATATTTAACACTGGTCTAACGATTAAAAATCAGATTATGCATCTGATTTACATATGTACGCACTTAACGTTTATGTACAGTATACATATATACATATATATATATATATATATATATATATATATATATTTTATATTTACAATTGATAAAACATTTATCAATATTCTTTTCGTAATTTATTTCGCGTTAATGCCACTCAGTATATTTATTGCATCTCTCCTCTACATATTTAATATATATATATATATATATATATATATATATCTTTTATATGTATTTGTTTTTTGTAATTATTTATCAATATTCATCATAAGCGTGATCCAAATATTGAAAAACTCAGCTCGTAATTTTGAAAAAATTAAGCTGCTTTTCATTTTTATTTTAACTTCGTTATACACAAGGCACAAGCCCCTTCTTCGGATTCAAATTTCGCGGAAAATATGGAAATCTCTCCTTTCAAATGTAAACTTTTGGATCCCACGAAATTTTGCAACAATTGCACGGTCTTCGTGCATCATATATATCTATCACGATAGCATACAAATAATCAGATATTTCTATATAAATAGCGAAACAACTTTATCATTGCACGCCTCTTCATTTGAAAGATTCACAATTTGTAAAATGCGAATAAGTATCGTCATGAAAATACTCACAATAATATTCGCGAAAGTATCTCTCTCCTGTCAAAATCCATCTTTCAACACCGAAACGAAACGCAGTATAACTCAGTTGAAACTTCGAACGATATGAAAGACGCAAGAAACACTAATAGAAAATGTATCAAATTAACAACGATTATCTCTCGCATAAACAATGTACTTGCATATGTATATATATATAATTCAATGGGAAAAAGAATCTAGATCAAAGAAAAATCAATCGTAACAACATATGCAATAACCATAGAAAAAGAGGAAAAATATAATACAACTGGAAACAATGTATTTCTGGTTTTTTTTTTTTGCAATAATAAATAACGCTTGTGCCTTGTGATGACACTGATTGCCTTTCAAAAGCATATTGTGAATGATAGTATCGTTAATTGCATCATAAATATTATTTTTATTTTATAGAAAATCGAAATTATTATTCGAAGTAAACGGTGATTTTTCATATTATAAACTTTAATGTCCTTCGAATTGACGAATGTTCGATTCGTTCGTCTATTTTCGCCATGATTTGATAATCATGATCCTAGCCTTTCGCTAGAAAACGTAACATCTCAACCATGACAGGAACGGCATGGCATTTCATTTAATTTCGCAGTGATTCATTGGCTGACAACAATTAAGTAACACTCGTTAACTTAATCGTCAGCTTAAGCTGTTCTCAAACAACTCCTGGCTGCATAGTTAACAGGTACGTTGTTGGATCGTAATATCCGGCTAAGTAATAAATGTCGTTGTTGTCATAAATGGTCAAATATCTATGTGGTTCCTTGCCCAATTTCTCTGTATATTCTTGAAGAGGTAATACTTCGCATTTGTGAGAGATTGTTTGCACGTCGTTCTCGTCCATATGAGGGGATTCAAACAGAGCGCCCTAGAGAATAGGTAAATTATATTAGATTAAAAATAGATTATAACATTTTTTTTCTAATATTTTTCTAGTATTTTTTTTTTATCCTTTAATAATTAATAATAGTAAGAAACAAAATATAAAAGAATTATTTTACATAAAATATCTATCTTAATACTCTTTTTAATACATTAAATTGAATTAGTTAAAAAAAAAAATCTAAAATAATTTTTTAAGACAATTTTAATCATATTTTACCGGGTACTTTAAGTTCTTTGGACATCCAACGGTCTCCTCAGGATGATAGAACCATTTTACTTTGACAACCATATTGGAGCTCGAAGTTTCCCACATAGATTCGATGCGTCCAATATAAGGCCTATCAGGTCTGCCAGTTGATAAGAAGACAGCACTATCACCTATTTGGATTGTTTCAGTTCCTCGTTGTATAGCACGGAAGAACTGTTTTTTAGCTCTTCCTTTAGCCCCGGGTCGTCTGTAACCTTTTCCAGCCCATCCCCATAATTGTCTTGCTGGCAAGAAAGCTGCCATTTTGCTCCGACTTTCTACTGATTCTTGTCGTTCACGTATTTTCGACTTTTTATCTGTTTTTTTCGGTTTTTCAGGCTTTTCTTCATGAACAGGTTCTTTGATCGGTTCTAGAGTAACTTCTTCTTGAGTAACCGATTCTTCTTCAACTTCTTCTTCTTCATCGATCTTAGATACTGTCTCTTTAGGTAATTCTTCTTCGCTCTTTTGACCACAACAGCTTTCCCCACTGCTAAGAAATTTTTTTAAAATAATATTTGATTAAAATTGGGAATCAATATAGAGATATATATATTTTTATGAATATATAATATAATATATAATATAAATAAATGATCTAATAATATAATATAATATAATAATATAATAATAATATAATAATATAATATAATAAATGATATAATATATAATATAATATAAATGAATATATATAATTTTATGAGTCTTTAAATATTTTTATATTTATTTATAAACTTCATTCTAAAACTATAAAAGAAATTTTCTAAATTTGTGAATAATTTTTGAATTAATATCTTATATACATATTTGTATTAAATTATTTCTTCTAATAAATCTTATTTTTAAAAAGTTTATTAAATCTACATATATCTTTTTCGTGATAATCTTTATAAAATTAGAATTAAAAATTTCTATTATATATATAATTATACTTAAAAATTTTGATAAAAATATATAAAAATTTTTTTTTGACAAAGACATATCATGATAAAAAGTTTCAATTTAGTTGATAAACAATATTTACTATAATCTACTTAATTTTATAATTAATAAATTATATTATATTATATTCATCTTATTCAAATTGATTGATAATTGGTAAAAAGAAATCTCTACAATTTTTTTAAGATTTACTACTCATCATTAAATACTACAAAACAGAGAACTTAAAAAATAACAAACCTATTATGACTTCCTTCACTATAACTACTATGATGGCTATGTTTGTGTTTATGTTTACGATGTTTCCTGTGTTTATGCTTTCTGTGTTCTTCACAACATTTATGTCTTCTGTGTTTCTTCTTTCCTTCTTGAGATTCTTGCAACCTCTTCAATTTATCTCTTCTTCTCTTCTTCATACGTTTCCTTTCACGATACTCTTCCAAATCTTTGGCATCTATATCGTCCGATTTGTGTCGCTCCAATGATTGTGTGTCAGATGATGAAACGTAGCAACTCGTTGTAGATGTAACAGTAGATATTGAGCTATTTATATTTGTAGAAACAGATGGTTGACTATTGCTAGACGAACGTTTATCTTCTGTTGATATTGATGTTTGTCGTCGACGTTTTCCCAATGATAACAAAGGATTAGGATCATATTCTATAATGTAATGAAGAAATATAATGTAAACATTCACAGAATCAATGATTATTAAAAGCTTATTCAAAATATAACTTATTTTATTAGTTAAATTAAAAACAATTTAGGATAATTGATTAAAATAAAAAAATTTAGTGCTTTAAATTTTAATTTTCGGACTTTTTAAATTAAATAATTTTAATTCTCTCAAGGATATTAAAACTTTGGAATTAAAATGTCTGGATAAAGATTATTCAAAATTATAACTTTTAGAATAAGAAAATAAATATTAAAATAAGAATTTTATTAGTTTTATTTTAACATTTTGTTAAAATGTTCCTGTCTTCAAATATTATTTACTAACTGATATAGTAGAAATATTAATCATGAAAATAATTCCACATACTAATTTCTTTATCTTTTATAAGAGATAATATAAACAAAAATAACATAGTTATCGTATCTAATAAAAATATATTGTTATAAACTTTTTATCCAGTTTTAAAATAATAATCAAATACATGAAATTAAAAATGATAAAATTATCATTTTTTACAACAAATTTTAATCATTTATCTTATATAAAAATTAATAATAATTTGAATTTTTTAAAAAAATAATTTTACAAATTCTTTAAAATATTTTAACTTAACAAAAACGAAAGTACAAAATTTACCAACGACAGGATAATCAGGCTGTAACAATCTGATATCATCCAAAGCAATTCTTCCACTATCTCCATCATCGAATTCCACGCTGACAAATTTTTCATCAAGTTCTGGATCAGGTTCCGAGGGTTCGACCGAAGTTCCCGGATACAAACAACGATATTGTTGGCTCCAATAAGCGCACAGTCTCGTGCCAGGTGGTAATTCTTTCGTTGAAGTAGGACAAATCTCCACGATCTATAAACGATGATGTAAATAGAAGTGCATATTCGAACGAAATACAGGCAATGAATGAATCAATGTTAATTTACCGCATCTCGTAGTATCTCCTCTCTGGAATGAATATGAGGTCTATTGCCTCTTTCACCATCCAGCGTAATCGCATAAACGTCAGGTGCTTGAACAGCGCTCAGTCTTCCGGCATAAAATAGACCACCCATAGCCGTTAAAACCCTTAGCTGGTCTATGCCCAAGTGGGCCGATGTTAATTTGCATTTGTTCACGATTTCCGTTTTCTCTGCTCGAGCAGCTTTCGCGCATTCTTTGCATTCTTTGCACTCGAGTGATTTTCGACGTTTCGATTCTTTCTTATCTCGATCGTTTGATTTGTGTCTGGACGGTGAGGATGAATTCGACTTTCGCTTCTTTTTTTTCGATTTCTCGTGTCTTATCTTTTCAGATTCTTTTTCTATTGATTTGGTAATATCCACTGAGATTTCCTAAGCAATTAAAAAATAGATTGCAATGGTTGGATAATTGATGGAATATCAATATTTATACAAAATTTTGTAGAGACAATTTAATTATCAATAAAATTATTTTTAGAAAAAGAATAAAAAATTAAAATAAAATTTCAAAAAAAAATTGTATTGTTTAAAAATGAATATATTTAGAAAATTCGTGAAGAAATTATATTTTTCTTAATATGTCTATATATGTGTGTGTGTGTATATATATATATATATATATATATATATTTGTATATCTTATTAATTGAAATAAATAAGTTGTGTAATAAAATTTTATTTCTATTTTTGTACTTTACCTTTGTTAATTCTTCCACAGTAGATTCTGGCATATTCTCCGTGATGCTACTAGATTCATCGTCTTCCCAAGTCTTCACTTTTGCTTCAGCCTTCAATTTTGGTTTCATTTTACTTTGTTTATCTAACTTTACTTCTTGACTTAATTTCGCCTTTTCCGCAATAATCGAACTAATTACATTTTTGCTATGCAAAGGTGTTTGTTTCGCAGGCTTCGGTTTTGACTTTGTTGATTTATGATTCTTGGAAGAGGATTTTATGGAAGATAACGTAGTCTTAAATGGTAATGGAGTATAACCAGTTTTACCCACATACTGTCAAATAGTAAATATATTTAATATAATAAATATACAGGATTCCAGATAAAAGCCAAAAAACTTTGCTAATAATTTGGAAATCATTCTAAATAATATATATCATGCAGTAATTTGTTTCCATTTTTAAGATATGCAAGATAATAAATCATCAGATTTAAACTATTTAAATCTACTATAATTTTTAATGATATGTAATCATTTATTTAAAATCATGTTTTATATTAATGATATTTTGAGAATGAAAAAAAATTGATATATAGTTCATAATATAGAATATTAACATATTTTAATAGAAATTTTGAAGAATTGATTCTAAAAATCAAAATATATATATATATATAAATTATAAAAATAATTAAAGTTTGCGTTAGATGAAGCAAGACAAAAATAGAAAATGCTCACATATCACATCGTTTTCTATTCTTTTCTTATTTAATTAATTGCTTATAATTTAATAAATAACATTTTCTTAACATTTTTGTATATTACCTTAATAAATAAACTTTAATTGATATGTTTGTGTTTTTTTTTTTTTTTTTTAGTCTTTAGAATCGATTTTCTAAAAAATATCCATGAATATATTAATATTCTGTATAATATTTTAAATTTAAAATGATTTCCTAATTATGTTGGAAAAATATATCCCTTTTTATCTAGAACATTCTGTATATATTATATTTATATTTTACCAAAAAAACAAAGCTCACTTTCGTTTGAAGATGCCTATTCTTCGAAGACAAAAGATATCCCACTAGAGAACTCTTGCTTTTAGGTTTTTTTGCAACTATTGTTTCTGTGAGATGTCTAACACTTCCGGATGTACACATTAACTTCCTAGGCCGACCAACCTTTCGTTTTTTTGAAGCTGAACTAGAACTCGCAATTGTAGGAGCTGGAGATGATGTGTCATAGCCAAGCTGTAACAAGTTTTATAAAATCTTGATAAGATTTCATAAAAAAAAAATTCTTTATCTTATTATATTTATATGTTGTGTTTATATGTTATTGTTCTTCTAGCTTGTTATGCTGACATAATAATTTAAAAATATTTCTGTTGTATTATTTAATTAAATATTATTATAGATATTATATATAGAAATTTCTTATATATGTAGAAATAAAATTATTAAGATAAAAAAAATCCAAATTATAATATTTAATCACATTTCATTTATTAATAAAATTAATAAAATTAAATTAATTAAATAAAATATAATATTTACAGATATACAATATATATAAAAAATTTAAGTAGAAATAATTCTTTATCATTATTATTTTTCTTTAAAATAAGTATTTTTTTAATAATTATAATAATTCTCAATTAATAATTCTCAATTTTTCAATTTTAATTATAATTTTCTTAACTTTTAAAGTGAAAAATTTTATTAGTACCAATGTATATATTCTTATTAAATTTTTAATATATTTTAATTACACACATATTATTTCTATCAAAATTCATTTACCCTTCCTGTGCTTTTTTCATCGTCGTCCTGCGACGATTTGTTCGATTGTAACACGGTAATTGGTGAGGCAACTGGTGGAACAGGAATCGGAATGCTTGGTATACTATCCAACAGTTTAATGTGACTTCTCTGTTCGCCCAATTTTACTAAATTCACATTACATCTTGGCATAGCTAGGACAGTCGAAGTTAGTGGTGGCGGAGCTCCATCTGGTGATCGTGGTGGAGATTTGTGCGGTGAAGATATTGGTTCCAAAATCGGTGGTGATGCGAGAGGTCCGTGATCCGAACTGCAAGTATTATTTATTAGTCATTTATATAACATATATTATATACAATTTTATTTTATATTATTATATTTATTTAATTTTTATATTATATTTATATATAATATATATTTTTGATAATTATATTATATTTAATTTTTATTTAATTTTATAAATGCATATAATTTTTACTATATTTCTTGTTTTTCTTTCATGTGATATTACTTTCTTAATTGTTATTTACGATAATTAATAATTAATTTCCTAATGATAAATAATATATATAAGAAGATATGATAATTACTATTCTTCGATCTTGATGATTTTTTAATATAGTGTCAAAGTCATTAATATTCAATAATGTAAAAATTTTATTTGGTGATCATTGTTCATTAAAGAGTTATTATTATATATAGAGTTATTATATATATATAATTATATATAATATAATATAATATATATTATATATAAGAGTTATTATATATATATATTACAAAAACATTTGATATAGTTTATCTTAAGTTAGTTTTAATTTTATGTTAATTTTAATTATTGCTATAGATAATTGATAACTGGTTGCTCTTACAACAATTAGATTAAGAAAGCACAAGTCCAAACTATTAAATAGATTAACAATTAAAATAAAAAAAATAAATTTTTTTTGATTTGAAGTAAAATTAAACTTAAAATTAATAAATTAATTATATTTATTAATATCAAATAAAATTTAATTTCTAATTTATATTAAATTAGATTAATAAACAACTTTTTAATAAACAATTGTCAAATAAAATCTTCATAACTATTTAGTATGATTTTGACAACATAAAAAATCATTAAGATCTGAGGATAATTTTTATAAATATTTATCGAAAATATGAAAAAAATATCTTAATATATAATTATCATAATTTATAATTAAAATCATAATAATATATAATTTTATCAACTTCACCTGGAAGAATGACTCTTCTTTCGCGGTCTACCAGGACTCTTCTTTTCATCCTTTTTCGGAGTCAACTTAGATAATTCTTTTTGTTTCTCTCTATATTGTCTTTGAATATCAGCTAATCTGACTCTCATATCAAGTTCCATGGCATCCATATTCGGCCAGTCTGCTTCATTATCTATATGTCCTTTTCGAGCAATGAATTTTTTTGCATCAAGTTTTGCTTGCAAGTTCCTATAATCATGACAGTCACGGTGTTCTGTAGAAAGTCGCCTCTTAATATCTATATTATCCTCCTTCTCTATTTTTTCATTAGAAGATTTTTTATCATATATTTCCATATCAGAATCCGATAAATTACCATCAATAGATTCTTTGCTGCTATATGTTCCGTTCATTTGATACTGGTCACAATGTCTTTCATATTCTTCAAAATTTTCGTTTCTTTCATAATTTACATTCTTATTAAGAGGAGCATTTTTCAACATGGCAACTTCCTCATCATCAGAACTAATACCATTTTGTTCAGAAAAGTCTATACTTCTCCTTGTAGTCTCTTTGAGCCTGAACATCATATCTTCTTCTACTCTTTCATCGTATTGCTTCTCGTTATTATTATTTTGTTGATAATGCAACGAACTGCATTCCTCATCCTCAGATTCGCCATCCATTTTGAACCTTTTGGGATTCTCGTAATTCTTTATATCTGTCTGAACATATTTCCGTTTGTCCGTCGTCTTTCCCTCTTTTTCCGGTATATTCACTCTGCCCAGATTCAACAACAATCTACCAGCATGCGATATTTCCTCTGAGCTTTCGAGATTCAACTTTCGTGGTACTTTGTCCCCCACTTCCTCCATAAATCTCTGTTCTGCTAGAGCACATAACAATCCCAAAGGACTGTCTACATTGTTGTTATTACTCTCTCCCTGCGGAGAAATCAGCTTGCTTTTAACAGGCGATTTCTCTAATTCAGATACTGTACCAGAATTTTGAGAATCCGGTTTCAAATGTTCCAATTGTTCAATGCTGTTTGATAGTAATTCGAGGCCGCTAATGTCAACCGTAGGTTTTTGTTTAGAATTAATCATAGAATTAACCATAGCTCTGGATTTAATTGTTTGATTATCAGGCGTTAAAGCGTATGAATTATCTGATGTTTCCATTTGTCTATATTTTTTGGACATGGCATCACTGTTAGTATATTTCATTTCCATCAACTCGCAAATCTCAGGAGATAAAGATTTTTCCTTCTTTACGACAGAATCTTTATCTTCTATCATTTTGATATTATTATTGCTATTTCTAGTATCGTTGTTGTTATCGTTTGTGAAATAGTTTCTGGGTAAAGGATGCTTATTCATGGAAGAATTAGATGAGTGTTCAGTTGTTGTTAAATATTTAGAAATATCTTGCGAATCTTTAGCTATTCGTGCCGTTTCTGATGAAGATACTTCAGGTTCCCGATTAACATTATGTTTGTCCAGAAAAGGAGAGTTCTCACAGGATCTTAAAATATGTTTCTTTAAACCATTCTCCAATTTTCTCGGCACAATATCTGAATGTTTTCTCGATCGAAGATTCTCCGCATTTTTATCCTTGGAATCATCTATTTTTTGAGCTGTTGTTTCCTGTAAAGCAGCAGCTGCATTTTTTTTTAGCTTCTCCACCACATTCTCAATCCCAGGATGAGACTTCTCGACTGAGTACTTCTTGAACGAATCTTGGCATTTTGGTTTCTCTGTCGTTGATGTTGATTCGCATCTGTAAGAGCAGTCTTCATATCCTGTTTCGTCTGCTTCTTGTTTGATAGTAATAGCTTCGATCATCTGTTCGTCACAGTCAATATTAGGCATATCAAATGACTTTACAGTAATCTGAGGGCGAGATACAGGAGTTTGAGGGCAATCATCATGACTTTTCTCACAATTCGATTCGTGATTGGAATTAATTTCTATTTTTGATTTGGTAGAATCCTCTGTTGGTTTTAAAATTTGATTGATTTCCAAATCTTCTGAAACAGAACTCACATATCTGTGCAGCTCTGTCATATCTTTTACTTTGGCTAATTCGGTCTGAAAAATGTAATATTATTTATGATGTTTGAGTTAAATAAAAATAAAAGTTAATTTTATGATATCTAAATAGTATATATTTTTTATTTTATAAAATTTTTTCTACGTTAAAAAAATATTTTATTAATTTGGATGATTTTAAAATATGTTAAGACAACATTTTGAACTTTTTCTCTATATGGTTATTGTTTTTATTTTCATATACTTATTAGATTCACGCAAAAGTATATTTAATAATAATATGTTTAATAATAATATGTAATATTATATTTTTTAAACAATTTTAAATAATGGTTTAGATTGAAATTCAATTTTTATTCGGATTACTTATTTACAACTGAGTTCAATTTACAACATTTTTTTATTGTATTTAATTTAATTCTATCAAACTTCTATCAAAGTAAAATATTTTTAATTTATATAATACTATTATTAATATTAATATTAATATTAATTTATATAATATATTTTTAATCTATATAATATGAAAACTACGAAACATATTTTGTTAATATATTTTTAATACATAATGAACAATAAATAAAATCTTCTGAAAAATAATTAATAATATAGCTTCTAAAACTTAAAATTATAATGCTGATTTTTAAATTTTTAAATTACATATAATACATATAAAAAATATTTTTGTTAATATCTTGAAAATTTCCAGATAATAATTATCAATACAGAAAAAAGTTATGTTAAGTTTACAATGTTTTTTCTAACAGTATATTTCATTATATATTCATTTCAAAACATAATTATTCATTCCAGAACAAATATATTCATTTCATAACTATGAAAATACATTTTTTTCTATATAATTGTCAAAAGTAGTTATGAAATAGTTATGAAATAACAGATTTAATAAATAATCATGAAAAGATTTCATAATAATTTTATATTCTTTAGTTTACAGTTACAATTAAATTCTTTAGTTTACAGTTAGACTGATTATTCTTTTTTTTTTGTTAGTAATATTTTTTCAAATTTTTATTCATTTTTTCATTATATGATGAATTATATTGCTGTGTCATTATACCAAATACAATATCATAATTGAAAAAATTCTTTTTTATCCAAAAACAAATAATTATTCCATAATACAACTTTTTAATTTTTATTTAAAAAGGAATATCTTTATTTATCTAAATTTCAAAATAAAAAAAAAATATATTTCCACAATCCTTACCTCGCACTTTTCAACAGCTCTCGTTGTATTAGTTTCATCTTCTTGTTCAATACTACCAGTTTCAGAAATATAACTTTTATTTTTATCTTTATGTCTATCCAACGAATGATCTCTTTTTCTCCCAAAAAATTCCAAATTTTCGTGAAAACTATCACAATTTTCTTCGGTAATTTCAATAATTCTCGGTCCATTCCTGATGTCCCTGCATGGTATCCTCTCCTCCTCAAGCGACTCATTCTCCTCTTCCTCTACATGACTTTTATCTTCATGCTCTCTATCGATTTGCCTGGTGACCACATGTTCGATCGTCCTGTCGATCGATGTTACACTCCTACACTCCTTCGTGATCGAGTATTTCGGACAATCGGCCATATTGATGATCGTGTTCTCTGCTTTGTCTACCTTACCCACGATGCCACATACCCCTGGATTCACGGTCGTGGTGGTGGTGGTTATTCGAACGACATTGCACACCTTCTCCGGCGATGTGGCCACGATCTCGAAATTGGTCAAATTCGTCAGGTTGGTGGTAGTGGTTGTCAGGTTGGCCGAGTTCTGCAACTGACAGGGACTCAAACTTTGCTCCTGCTTCACGCATGCCTCGACCAACGGTTGCTCCTGATCCTCCGGTTCCGGTGCGTCCGTCTGGTTCGACGCATCCTGCACCCCCACTATCAGCCCCACTTCCGGTGGCTCGATCGTGTGGATCGGCGTCACCTCTGGCGGCGGCGTCAAACACGAGACCGGCGAGGTCGCCTTCGACAGAAACGAATTTCGCTGCTACGCGCAGGATATTCGAGGATCAAGTATCGGCGAGTTAGGCAATGGCGAATTTCAACGAAGTTGGACCAAGATGAGAGATTGAACCGGGTCAACCCACATCAAGAGGAACTAATTAGAAATGATTACTTTTGAAATTTTCGGTTAAGATGATTTCAATTTTTACAAGTTGATCAGACAAATGTTTGAGATTTTTCTATGATTGAACATGAATTTTTTTTATTGTTTAATTAGTTTTTTTTTCAATTTTAAATATTTGAGGAAGGTTATGAATTATGATGATGTTGAATTGGGAAATTATTTAATATTTTTATTAGATTTAAATACAATTTGAAATTTCAGATCAAAAAATCCAATTTTCATTCATAATAAAATATTTAACTTATATTTATTATTTAAAAAAAATTGAATTTAGTTTTTTCTTTCAAAATTTTCTAAATTATAATATTTTTTCTTATTAAAATACTAAATAAATATCAAATGTTACTTATGTTTTAGAATCCTTTCTTGAATATAAAGAACATAAATGTATAATCTTCCAGGAATAAATTAATATTTGACTTTTGAAAACAATATTATCATATTTGATAACAGATACATAACATTTACATAATGTGCTTGAATGTATCGAATAATTATAAAAGAATACATGAATTACTTATGTTTATAAATAAATTATTTTATAACAAATATTAATTACACGTGTAATGAAAAAGACAAATATATTCACAAAAGAAAAAAATATAATTAATCATCAGATAAGTTAAGTAATACAAAATATCAAATTTCTTTTCTGTTTTGTAAAAGTATTCTATTCCAAAATAATTAAGAATAAACACACAGGATATTGTTACATATATATTTCTAACATTTTCTTTTAAATATAAATACGAATATAATTACTATTTGTTGAATATAGAAAAATTAAACGCACATATGCAATTTACTCAACAAAGATTATTAAGATTATAATTTGATTATATTTGATTATTATTTTCATTTCCTTACACAATTTATTTAATCATTTTAAATATACTTTGTCCAACTTTATTAAAATTTGCCACAACGCGTTACGAGTTTATAACAGGAGGACCAAAAGCAAAACCAGCCATGTTCTACAAAGCATTAAATGAAAGAATCAGAAAAATTTGTTTATTAAGCGAAAATATGAAATTTAGAATCTTGTAATTCAATATTTGATAAGTGTTTATTTTAAATTATTTATTTATATATATTTAATAAGATAATTATCATACAAATCAATTTCTAATTGTAAATATAAAATATTTCTAGATAGCATTCAATTATATTAAAAAATTAACAATTATGTAACAATTATGTAAGTAAGTTTTGAAAAAAAATAAATTTAGAATAAAATAATAATGCTATATTAAAAATAATCTGAATAGATAATTTTTATGTTCAAATTAAAACTAATATCTATATTTTGATATTTCTGATATATACTAGTACAGAAATATATATAATATTATATCGTATATAATTCCAATTACAATACAAGATAAAGATTATTAATTGCGAAAAATTAAGAAGAGACAAACATAATTAGTAATGATATTGGAAACAATGTAAATATTTATATTTGTTCTTAATCTACATTCAATTAAATCCGTTCATTAAGAGAATAATAAATCTTTTACTCATGATTAAGAATTTCATAAAATATAATTTTCATAAAATTAAAACTTTGCTAATGTTAATATTATAAAAAATTAAAAAATTTTTAACTTTCAAAAATTTTGCAACGTATAAAAAAATTAAGATATTAGGCTTCAATTGTATTAAAAGTTAATGAATAATAGCAATGCAAAATAATTAAATAATAAAATAATAAATATTTGTATATTTAATTTATATAGTTACAATAAAATTAAATATAAATTTTTATATTTTTAATATTATTTTTAAAAGTTAATGAATAATAACAATGCAAAATAATTAAATAATAAAATAATAAATATTTATATATTTAGTTTATTTAGTTATAATAAAATTAAATATAAATTTTTATATTTTTAATATTATTTTTCAAAAATTATTATCTAAAATTTAAAAAAAAAATTATAAATTTGAAAACTATTCCAAAAAATTCCAAAAAATCTTGTTTATAAAAATTATTTTCTAGAAACGTAGATATATATATATTATATTCGATTTTAATTGAGCAAAAATTATAATCTGTTTAAAAGAAATTATAGATAAAAAGAAAATCATATGCACTATTCCATAATTTTAGGAGCAATTAGAAATAGGAATAGCGTTTATTGCAAGAAAAAGAATAAAGATAAAAAATGAATAAAATAGAAGGAAGAAAAAGAAAGAAAAAAAAATGAAATAACAAAAAAAAGAATAAAATGATAACCTATTACTTAAAAATTCTTTAAACTTAATGCTTCAAAAAGACTCATGTTATAATAAAAAAATAATAAAAGAGTATAAGTAAAGAATTACATTATTAAGAAAAAGTTTTTATTTATTAAAAAGCTATTTGTATAACTAATTAACACCATCGTATTATGAATTACTAAAGAAAAAAGTGAATATCAAAATTAGATTTCGAATAAAAATGACAAATTAAAAAAAATAGAAAAATATTAATACTTCGGAAATTGTATTATTATGTGATACAAAATTTAATCTAATTTAAAAGATAGATATTATAAAGAAATAGATAGATTTATAAAGAAATTTTTCTCAATAAAATTTAAACAAAAAAATTAATTCAATTAGAAAATTAAAAATTTAGAAATAATTTTCAACAATATTCAACAAATATTTTTATATGATAAAAATTATCATATAAAGTAGAAAAAAAAAATTTTTATTTCTTATTTTCCATTTGATTTTCAATTTATAACGATAAAATATCATATTAAACGTAATTTTTTTCAAATTCGATTAAATATTTTATATTACATAATAAATATTTATAATTGAAAATACAACTGATTATTGTAAAAGAAAGTACTGTATTATAATAGCTTTATTTTTTGTATTTATCTTTAAATTACAAATCTGTCTAAATTGTTGAGAATCAAAATATTTTTCTTTTTCTTATCGAATTGTTTTATTTTCTATTAGATTTTGATTCGCATATACATTGATATTTTTATAAATTCTTATTCTAATTTATAATTTAATATTATTTGATTTAATATCTAATATATTGCTAAAAGCATTAAAATCAAAAAATTAATTAAAAAATCTTGAATATTAATAAAAATTAAAAATAATTAAATAAACGAAATGATTTTTCAATTTTGAGATATATATATTAAATTAATATGATTATTAGCGATGCTAAAATATCATGTTCGATTCAATATTAAATTTTTCATTTTCTATTATTAATATTCAAATTTCGATATTACTACTATCTATTATAAAAATTACTATCTATCTATAAAAATAATTTAATAGTTATAAAATAGCAATAAGAGAAAAAAAATTAAAAAACGAATAAAATAAAATCTGGATAAAAAAAAAGAAAGTGATAAAACGAAAACACAGAAATGGCGAAAAACGAAGAGAAGAATAAATCAAAGCCCGGGAAATTAACAAGAAGCATTAAGCTTCCGAGGAATTGCAAGGTCAACAACGAACTGGTTAGTAATATGTATGCAGATAAAAATGCAAATAGGTTTGTGCATGATTATACAATGTGTTATAACATTTCCGCATTTTGAGAATGGTTGGATCGCGCCCCGAGTTTGACATAATTATTGTTGCTCCTTCTCTGCATCGTTTGCTTTTCTCTCTTGTCACTATGCTCAATTCGACATAAGATTGACGAATATAGATAGAGAAAAGAGAAATAAGGAAACGATAGAAAAGAAAGAAACAGGATAATAGCGACAGATGGAAAGCTGTGAATAGAATGGAAAAATGAAGAGAACACTTACCTGTGATCTGCAATGCGTTGGCTCGGCTTGACTGATTTGCACCAATGCAGGAGCATGAGGATAATAATGCAACGTGGTTACAAGGGGTGTATCTGGTACGAGGGTTCCCGTCATCGAAGTCACAGTCTGCAATGCCTTTGTTGATTCCGTTGAGGCTATGAAATTTAGGATTTCAATATTATCTAGGAAATTATTTTTCTAGTCAGTCATCGATGAATTTTCATATAAATATATGGATAAATAAATGTTTGCTTGATCTTGATTTTTATTGACATAAGATTTTTTTTTTTTAGATAATGTGCATGACATACATTTTATATAATTTAAAAATTTATGGAAGTAAAAAAACAATTTATTTATTATTATTTTTAGTAAATAAATCAAGTGTCATTCTTTTTTTTTATTATTTAATTTATGATTAATTATCTCAATTACTTTAGTAGAATAGTTTTAGACTTCTATGAAATATGGAAATATAATTGTATGAAATTTTATAATTTCAAAAATGTTCTTATTTTTTTTTTCTATAGTGAATCTCAAAATTATTACAAATATATTTCAAAAAGAAAATATTAATTGAAGAATTTATAAAAATATTTTTAATACTTTATTAATATATATATATATAATATACTACTAAGAAAGAATTTTTAATAATATTGTTAAAAGAGCAGTGAAAACTAAAACTGAAGTAAAAAAGTATATATAAATTTTTTATTTAATAATGATTTTTATCATTAAAAATGTTAATTGCATTTCAAAATTAAAATAATAAAAGAATTTTAAATTTATGAGATTTTTTATTCAATTAATTATTCAATATCATCTAATTTTTTATATAAGAAAATATTAAAATATTTTTGATCGTAATACAATTGTTATAACCTATAACAACAAAACTTTCTATTGTGATAATCAAAATATAATTTCTTTCTATTCAATTCTTTATATATTCCATACAATTTAATTTCATTTTTTCCATATATCTATTAATAATTTAATTCAAAATTTTCATTTCAAAAAATATGTATGACTTACTGATTATAGTAGTAGGATTGGTGCCACAATCTGCTTCTATTTTGACAATAGGTAAAGTACTCTGCTGTTTTCTTTTGCTTTCAGTGAGGACTAGTCTTGCGCCACCGATATCGCTCAAGAGCTGAAGAGATGGTGGTGGAGGCGGAAGCAAAAGAGACGGTGGCGCGACATTTCCATTATTATGATTCGAATAATTTGGCCATACTACTGCTTGTTGCATTTGTTCTATAAAAGAAAAATCATGTTTTTCAAAAATATAAAAATTATTTAGGAAAAGGGACTTATTAATTTTTATGATCTTGAAATATATTATAAATTTAACATTCTAAACAAATTTTTTTATACATATATCCGCCGCATAGCATTAGTTTACGAGATATTAGTAAAAATTTTTAATCCTATATATCATAGATAAAAAAAATATTACTTTGAAAAAAATATATACTGAGGATTAATTTCTATGAATCAAATAACTATATTATTCGATTTTTGTTTTCAAAAAGAACAAGAAAAAATACAAAATAGCGAGTAAGATAACGGTAAATTATAAAGTGATTGAGTGAATAACAATGCTATTCTTTAGAAAACAGTAGAACATCATCTTCCTCTATCACTAAACAATTTTGAAGATATAAAGATTGTAGTTTCTTACTTTCATGGATCTGTCACTCATTTTCGGATTTCTTATTTTGCAGATGATATTATATTATAAATAAAGAAGTGAGGATACCGATGATTTCGAGCCATACGACTGTTGCTTTTTTTGGAACATTATTGTATATAGTTTAAAGTTAACTCCAATGATTTTGATATAAATAAGTACTATATTGTAGATTATTATACATTAATTTAATCAATTCTCAAAAGATTTTAATCATTTTTCATTGTTAAAAAGTTATTTCAATAATACTATATAATTTTTCAATATTTTACAGATGAAAATATTAAATTTGTATTAAATTAGATTATAATTTTGTTTTTACGTTATAATTTGATTTAAATAGTCGCAATTTTATCTAACCTAACCAAACTAACTTGGAAACATAAAAAGGAATCATTATTTTAAATTATCTTTTATTGAATTGATGTCAATTGAGGTTAATAATTGAAGAAACTTATGACTCTTTTTTTGATATTTCACTGAATTAATCTAAATAATATTGATAATAATATATTATAAAATTCTAAATTGTTGTTATTATTTATTATTCAATTTAAATTAATCTAACTTAATCTAAACTTATATCAATATCAAATCTAATCAAAACTTATTTCAAATCTTAAAATACGATATACAACAAATATATTCTTATGTGTATTTTAAAATATATTTTATCAAATTTAATGAGAAATTCCTTTCCTAGATAATCATTAAATATTCTATTTTATATTTCTCGCAAATTAATTCCTTTACATATAATTTTGTCATATATGAAAAAAAAACTCTCTATAACAGTTATAAAAAAATATTTTATCACATAAAAAAGAAAAGAATTCTGAAATATTATGTATTTACATTTTATTATATTAAAAAAGAAAAAGTATTTCAGAAATAAGTAGTCAAATTTTTGTATTATATTTTATTTTTTTTAAGAATGGAAATAGAACCAAAAACTTTTTTTATTTAAAATATAAATATAAATATTTTTTTTATGATAGAATATTTTATTTTATTTTAAAAAATATTTAAAATTTATTTAAGTAATTTTATATTGCACTAATATATGCATCATAATAATATTCTTTATAATTTTCATTAGCTTGTTTATATCTACCTAATCGATATTAAAATGAAACTTCCTAGAAGACCGTAATTATCAAATATTTAAATAGAAATCTATTACTTTATAATATAAATAAATTGCTTTCAATATCAAGCTAATTTGCTCTACTGCAATTTGCTCTACTATATTTACTTTTAATTTAAACATTTAATAAAAGAATTAAATTTTATAAATCTTTTATTCATATTTATTCATATAAATTTCGAAATGAACAAAAATATTTATATATTTTGAAAAGAATTTCAAAATGAACAAAAATGTTTATATATTTTCAAAAGAAAGAATTTTCAGATATGTTTATATTTATATTCTTTTTTCATTATTGTATACGGTACTAAAATTTGAACATTTATTTTTGAAGTAAATAAATAAAAACTATTTTATCAATAATGCATTTAATATATCATTTCAATATAAAAATAATTAAATTTTTTTTCTTCGATATATCTACTGTACTTTTTAACATGCAGTTTATTAATATTTTCATTCATTACTATCTTATAGTTAGTATATATTAATATTCAATTTGTAAAAATATCTCATAAATTTCTTTTTTCTCGCGTATTGTTTCTCGATTTGTGTTAATGATGTCATAATGCAAAAAAATTATCCAATTTAATGCTATTAAATGTTTAATGATATATAAGTTTGGTAATGGAATTTAACAATTATCATTTAATAAATCATCATTTGTTTATATACTTGAAAATATGTATATTTTAAGATAAAANATATAATATAATGAATATAATAAAGTTATGTAATAAGTCTATTTCGAAATAAATATCTTTTTTTTATTAGGATTATTTTTTTTCTATTAAAAGAATAATTTATTAATTTTATTATAAACTTTTATAATAAAAAGAATATAATAAAAATATATAATAAAAATATACTAAATAGCTATTTCTTGTTTTTTATAATTGTTGAAAAAGGAGTTTTTTATTAAAATAATATACGATTGGACACATTTGTTTAAATATTTAAATAATAAAATTATTATAATTTAAAATAGGATATTTTATTTCGCTTATCATATTTATTTGATTTTTAATTTACATATTTCATAATTATCAAATTTTTCTTATCAAAATCAATGAAAAATCATGAATATTTAATGTAAAATATTTTAATACAAATAATATAAATAAATATTTTAAAAAATTAAGAATTTTATTAAATAAAAAAAAATTAAAATCATCTAAGAGATGATAGAATATCATAAAATAAAATGATTTATATAAAATGCTATGTATACATCATTGAATAAATAACATTTTATATAAAATTATTAATATTAAATAAAAATATTTAAATAACATTCTTATAAAAAAATGCCAACAGACTTTTTATAATTTAATATTATTTATTTTACATTGCATTTAACATACCAGCCGCATGAATAAGGAGAAGATGACCTGTCGTTGGATCTCTAACCAATTGTAGGCCACCTTGAAGACCAACACCCATCTGAGGAAAACCAACTGGTTCCATTGGCATCGCTGTAAAATTTTTTAATGAATTAATAAATTATGATTAAAATATTAAATTTAATATTAAAATTTTGTTTTATGAAAATAAAATAAAGAATATAAAAATTTTATTTTGATAAAATTAATCTTACTTATTAAATTTTAATTGATAAGTAATTTTATATGAAAAAACTTGAATTTATAAAAAAATATTATAATTAAATATAAAAAATTTCAGAATTTAATTTAATGGAATATGCGAAGAATAAATTTTTATTAAATAAGCAAAAATATTTATTGATTTAGTATTTAAATGATAAGTATACAAAAAATGACATGAATATTAAAAAAATCTGCACTCTGATTTTGAAACTTCATAAACTAATGCAATGTTTTCACTATATTTTGAAATTCAAAAAAAAAAAATGTTACGTTAAATTAAATAGAAAATTCCATTTATTTAACAATTTTTTTACCAAAAAAAAAAAAAAAATAACAAGAAAAAATAATAAAAAAGTACCACCATTCTTAGTACAAACAATAAAATCTCGTTCATTTTTATATCTACGATAAAATCACCACATATACATTGTTTTCATCCTTTTATTCCATATTTCCTGCAAATTTCAAACCTTTCTCCATCGAAGAATTTCCCAATACTTCGCTGTCAGCTTAAATTAAAAACCATTTTTTATCGAGTATGGAACGAGGTCAAAAAATTTTTCGTGGCATTGCGTCATTTCTTCAATCGTGATTAAGAAAATCAATAGACAGATCAAAAATGTGAGCAAAGAGTTAAAAATCGACAATTTGAATGCAAAAGTTTGTGAATGATTTAGAGAGCACGAAAATGTCCAAGGCGAATATACATAGATGTTATTCGGATAAATGTCACTCGGTCACCGAAGGAGGTCATTCTTGCAAACAAGAAATGAATTCTACTCGAAATCGCACTATTTGAAAATATTGTGTAACAAATACATATATTCCTAGAAAATTATTTTGAAATTCTCCTTTGTTTTATATATATATAATTATATATATTATTATATATATTAAATTATATATATTATAATTTCGTTGTGTAATAATTAAAATGATCAATATATATGAATCGATACACATGAATGTATCGATATGTATTGAATATACAAATCAAGAAAATATTTATTTTATTTTAATTTATAATGATTTGAATTTGAATTTGAATAAAAAATTCTTTATTTAATTAAATATTTATTATTATTTATTAAAAATTAAATATTTAAATATTTTTATTAACATTATATATACTTAATAATTTTTTAATTAAAATTACTGGTCAATATTAGATAAATTTTTCGTTTTTTACAAATTAGGACTTTTTTATTTTTACAATTTATTATCAAATTAAATAAAAATGACTTTTCTGCTTTTATATTTTATATTTGTAATATAATAATTTGTAATATAAATAGAATTTATAATTCTAATTCAAAACATAATAAGAAAATTAAAACTTAAATCTTCATAAATTCATTTATACTTGAAAATTTTGAAATATTACTATAATATTGATGTAATGACCAATATTAATGCTAAATGTTTCTGTAATCTTTTAATGCTTATAAGAAATCCTTTTTAATGAAATTAATTTAATTAATATTTTAAATTCTTTTATTCAATTCAATTAATAAGAATTTTTTGAAAAACGATCTAATATGAAACAATCAAATATGTAAGCTACTCTTTTTCATTGGATTATTAAACAAAAATACGACCACTATTATATATCTAAAATAAATATATAATAGTTGATGAAAGATATGAAAGGTATCTTGCGTTTACTGTTATATCAATTATACGTATAGAAAAAAATTGTTTAAAATTTTCTGATAACTATTCAAACTTATAAGCTCATTGGAATCGAAAAGATTATTTTACGAATTAATCAAAAATATAAAAAAAAATGGAAATTCAAATTAAAAATAGAATAATTAGCAAATCAATTGGGAAATTATTTTTTGAAGTCAAAAGAAAATTATGATTTTGTGACCCAATTATATTAACAATTATATTACAGTGAATTCTCAAATTTCGAATATAATTCATTCAGATGATCTAAATTATTCGAATTTCGAATTAAATTTCTTCATTTGAAATAATTTCAATTATTTGAAATAAATATAATTTCAATTCATATATATTTCAATTTCATATATAATTTCAATTCATTTGAAATAAATTTAATTAATTTACTTCAAATCTCCAAAAATATAAAACAACATTAAATATCTATTTCAAAAGATCATATTGATAATGATAAAACAAATTCAATAATTGAATGCTTTTATTTATAATATATATATATATATATATATTAAAAAAATTAAAATTAAATTAATTAAACTAAATTAATTAAACTATTAAAAAATTAAAATTAAAACATTGTTATTAAAATATTGTTAATATAAAAAATTAATTTATTAATGGATTATTATAAAATATTATATATATATAAAATTGATTTATTAATAAAAAAATATATATATAATATATATATAATAAATAAAAATTATATATAATAAAAAAATATATATAAATATATATAATAAAAAATATATATATAAATAGATATATATAATATAAATACATACATAGATATATATAAATAAAAAAATTGATTTATTAATGAATTATTATAAAATATATATATAATAAAAAAAAATGTTATATATATATATATATATATATATTTTATAATAATCCATTAATAAATCAATTTTTTATATTAACAATATTTGAAACTTATAATTGGTTATCTATTATTATTTGGTTTTTCTTAAAGAGATACTTAAGATAAATATCTAATTAATCTGATTACCTAAATAATCTGTTTATTTTTTGAAATTTTTAAAAAATTTTTTATTATTCTCTCTAAAATCTTTTATCTTATTAAATAGGTTGATTTTACTATAGTTTCATAATTCTTTTGATTTTTGAGTTTTTATTCGAGTTATTTTGAAAGCTGAATTCTCTTTATATTTTTTCAAGATATTCAGATTTTAAATCGTTTGAAATTGTCTATTGTATTAAAAAAGTAGATAATCCTGAAACAATTTACAAAGTTATTAAAAATGGTCATTTGATAAGTACGCACTCGTTATACATTGGATATTTCTATTCTAAACAAATGAATAAAATTAATTGCGGCAATTTTTTGGAAAATCCAAAAAATTCTCAATGTCACATGAGATAAACAATGCGTTGAATGCAACGATGAATGGAATGCGATGACGCACCAAATACCAAAGATTTGCTCGGTTTAATTAAATGGCGGTCACAAATTTGTAAATAAATATCTGATTACTGAAGTGATTTATTCTGCCATGCAATCCGCTGAAGAATTAACCAAAAAAAAAAAAAAACGAATCCAGTGGTTGTAATGCTACTAATTCATGGAATTAGGAACAAAGTCTTAACAAATGATAAACTGCAAGTTTTTTATTTTTCTCTTTATATCCAATTATATAGAATTAAATTTGAACATAAAAATTTGATACTATTATTTAATACGTAAATATATAATAAAGAAAAAAAGAAGAATAAAAAAGAATTTATCTTGAACGAGATTTGATATAATAAAAATGTTATTGATACTTAGTTATATATTTTTAGAATTTTATAAACAATATCTATGAATTACTGGATAAAGAATAAAAAATGTGTTTAATAATAATTTTTAATCTTTTCGAGATAAATTTTTCTGTTAATTCCTCAAACTATTTTTATTAGCACCTATTTCAAATTTGTAAAAATTTAAAAATGTTTTTTTAAATTTGAAAAATTTGAAAAATATTCAGTTATTTACCATTTAATTAATTTTTTACATCTATCAAAAATATTATAGTAATTTCATTCCAAAAATTATTTTGATAAATACATACCATACTTATATTTTAAAAAATTTATTTTAATTAATTTATTACTTATTTTATATATTTATTCAATTTTATTTTACCAAAGGAAATAAAAATTAATCTTATATTACATGTATTCAAATAGAATATATTCCTCAAAAATTATTTCATTTAAACGTCTATACATTATCCATATTATCCGATTCACATATATTAGCTTTTAATATTTTCTCTATTTTTCAATCTGATCACTGATAGATAAAAATATTTTATTGTATACTCTATAACAATAAATTTTTTTGATTGTACTAATTGTATATAAACATCAACATATTAAACTCAAGCAAATTATGATTATATATAAATAAACGTTAATCTCTTCTTCTTTCAGAAAAGAGGCATTTTATATATTACAATATTAGTAATCCAAAAAATGATTCCTTCAAAAAATAAATGTATAAAAGAAAAAAAAGTGTTCAGTACTCACCTGCAGCTGCAGCTGCAGCAGCCGCGGCCGCCGCAGGGTACTGCCATAAGGTTGGCGGCCATGTGGCTGTGGCCGCGGCCGTAGCAGCGGTTGCCGCGCTTGCCGCGGCACCGATGCTACCCAATGTGGAATTTAAGCTGGAATTCAAGCTGGAATTCAGGCTCGAGCCAAGAGCGGCATTCAACGAGGGTGCAAGAGCTCCCGAGGGAATGGCAAGATGGGCCGGTCGGTCTTCCCCTCCAGATCCTCCGCAATGCACCAGGGTCGCACCGCCTACTGCCATGGCCGTGCTCGAACCTACCAACAGGCCCAGTCACATACATTTCTTTTCTCACAATATTAAGCTTATAATCTCTTCTAACACCATAAATACGCTTATTATTACTTTGCTATATATTCTGATAATACTAATGTTAGTGTTATTAGTATGATTATCATTAAATTAATATTGATAATTTAAAGTATTGAAATTGAAGAAAGATTTAATAATTCTAATTTTAATAAGTAAAATAAAAAGTTATTTTAAGGAATATATACAATATTTAGATTAAATATATAGAAAATTTAAAAAATGATTTTAAATTTAAAAATTAAAAAGTAAAATAAAAAGATTATAATAAATAATAGATATACAAAAATATTCGTTAAAGTTTATTTCTCAAATTTATAATTTAGATAATTTTGAATTAAGTAAAATAAGATAGCATTAAAGTGAAACGGATCTATCTTTGTTTCATTCTATCTTCATCTTATTTGATTCAATGCAAAATTGAATTATTTATAATTTTAAAAATTTTAAAAATAAGTTTTAATTGATATTTTTACATATTAGCTTTTATACGTATTTTAGTTCATAAAATTATTCTTCAAATTTTTTATCTTTTTTTTTTCGAACAATCTATATATCTTTATATTAGAAACATATTAAATTATACTATAGTTTGTGTAAATTTCTAATTATAAAAAAATTTAATAATCAGATACACAATAAAAAATATATTTATTACTATTATTATTTCATTTTTATTCTTACAAACAGTGAAATAAATAAAATGATAATATTTAACAATATAATTTATTTATGTATTCTATTTATTTTATAAATAATTTTTTTTCTATTAAAAAAAAGCAATTTTAAAAAAAATATTTTTTAAATTAAAATTTAATTTTAGTTTACAAATGATTTTTTTTTCTAATTATAGAAGTTACAATAGAATTTGTTTAAAAAAAATATATTTAATTTTTGAAAATGTATTTAAATTTTTATGCACATTTAAGTATAATTGTTTCTACTTTTTATTTGTGACATAATATAATAATATTAGTATTTTACAATAATATTTATCTACTAATTATCTAATTTCTTTAAATTCTAAGCAATATACCTATTTAATAAATATTTTAATTGTAAAACTTTTAAATGAATGTGTATTTTATAAAATTTGTTTCTTTTTTTGTTAGAAATTAAAATTTCAATAAAGTTATTAATTATTTTAATAATTAAAAATAGTTCAAAGTGAAATAAAGTTTCACAATATGATTTTTAAATCATTATTACCATTCACAATATAAATTATATTTTATTCTCTAAATTCTTCATTAAATCATTTTCCATAAATTATTCTCAACCAATAAATCGTATTTCAAATTCGTATTCGAAAATATTTATTATCATCGTTTGTTTTTATTTAGTGATTTGCAAAATATTGATAATTACATATCAATATATATATATATATATTGATAATTACATATCATATATATATATATATATATATACACACATACAATACATATATATATATATACACACAGTGTTATGTGTTAAAAATGATAATTCATGAATAATGTAAAGTATAGTGGTGATTTTCTAACTGTCAAATCTATTTTTATCTCTATAGAAATATGTGCGTAGAAAATGTGTCAAAAGTATTTTCTTAAAACAAACTATTTTCTTAAAACTTATTGAAGATATTAACTTGTTTTTCTTATAAATGATAGAAAAATTACAGACAAGTTAATTTTTTAATGTACAATAAATCCTTTTCAAACTTATTAAGGAGAAAATCTCTCTCCTCTCCAACATCTTAATGCAAAATATTAATTTTCTATATTTCTTATTAAAATAGCTCTTATTGTTGAATAACATTTATTCAACAATAAATAATATATATCTACATATAAATCATTTTTTTTATAATGCATATTTAAAAAATTAACAAAAAATCCATTTCAGAGAGAAACTTTGGACAAAGAGAAATAAAATATTTTATTAAATATTCAAAATGATGTTCTTAAACTTCCAAGATATTAAATTTTTTCCAAATGTTCTCCTGAATGATTTGAATACATATAATAAAAGAATTATTAAATATAAACAATATTCTTGTATTTCTTTTAATATTATTAAATGTTCGATTTATTACTTTGCTATATATTCTGATAATACTAATGTTAGTGTTATTAGTATAATCTTTTGTTGTATACAAAAGATTAATCATTTAATTACAGTAAAAATGAAGTTGATATTTTTGTTAAATTCTAATAAAAGTTTACATTTTATTTGGCTACGTTTACATAATATGCAGGCCGAATAGAAGTACACTAAAAATACTATTTCGGCGTTATATGACAATGAATGGTTACAACGAAGATATATGTCTTTTGTGTTAGATGAAATAGTCATCTTTTTACTCATCTTCATCAGTCATCTCCCTCTATCTTCATCTTAACTATGATTCATATCGGAACTGGTAAAAGATTATATCTGATATTACCACTATTCATGATCGATTCAAATAAAATGCTGAATGTACTTTTATCAAGTGTGATTTTAAAACTTTTAGTAACCTTTTATTTTTTTCATAGTAATCGTATGAATTTTAAAACGAAAAGAAAAATATATTGCACATATAATAAAAATAAAAATATTGAAAACTGTAAATAATTATAATTAAATAATTATAAAGAAATAAAAAGAGATAATTTTAGATATTTTATAAGATAATTAATGATAAATTATATAATTAAATAAAACAAATTGAAAATTTTTATATTTTTAATAAATATTTTCTCTTTTAATTTCTTATGGAAATTCTAATTCTTAATTAATCTCTTAATCTATTTTTTGTACAATTTTATGTTATAATAAATATAAAAGAAATAGTATCTCGAATATTAATAAAAAAACTATAAAAAATATTATTAATAAAAAATTATTTGTAAAAAATGTAAAGCATTGTATATCTAAATTAAAAATTATATTTATCGTTTCGTTATATTAATAGATTTTTCATTATTTCGTTAATTGACACCAAAGGTAAAATTCATAAAAGTTTTTTAATTTTTTTAATTTTTTGAAAAAGTTAAGTAATGTTTCTAAAACAACGTGATAAATAAATCCAATATTTTTTCCAATTTTACAATTAAAAAAAAATAACAAATAGACTTGTAAATAACAGTATATATATATATATAAGTATTTAGAAACTTTAAGATAATTGTAAAATTCTATAATAATATACAATAGAATTATTCAATAGCCGAAATAATGAACATTTCTATTGTATTAATCGAACATTTTATTATTTGAACTATATATTATTTTTATTCACAGCAAGCAAACATTTTTCCATATCCTAATAATGAAAATAAAATTTAATTTGAAATTGATGATATATATATACTTAATGTATTAATTATTGAAATATTTGAAAAATTAACTGAATGTGTTACGAAATTATCAAAAATATATAATATTGAAAAATCTATAGTTATTAATATTAAAAAAATGAAAGAATGAAATGGAAAATTATTTAAAAATTGCATATTTTTTTATATTAATATATTAAAAAATTTATATATTAAATATATTATATATTAAAAAATTTGTACAATTTGGCAGTTGTTCCTAAAAAGTAGAAATTCTAATTTTTTCTAATAAAAATAATTTTCAATTTTGTTGTAAATAAGCATATTATTTTCTTCAAAATGTACAAATGTACATTCATACAAAATGTAAATTCATATAAAAAAAAAATTCTGTTTTATTATTTGAAAATTCTTTAATTTAAAAATCTTATCTCTTTATCAGTACAAATAATAGAAGTTTTATTGTAATATCAATAACGTATATAATATTTAAAATTTTTCATATTATTACTTCAAAAATTAATTCGTAAATAATACATTCTCTGAAATATTCTTAACTCTACACAAAAGTAGAAAAAAAATTTTCTTAACAAGTTACTCATTGACAATTTCTAGCCTCTCAAATGAACTCGATAAAAAAAAAAGGAAAAAAAGATACATAAAACTTTTTTCCCTATAAAATTTTACTTGCTTCATTTCCATCCGACATATTCCTAATATTGGGAATATTTCTACTCCAAAGGAACGGATAATACGCCGATACACGCTGATATATGCCGCCGCGATTCCGTTGCAAAATTATTCACGTCCAGAAAAATTCCGCTCTCATCCACGAGCGATCCGTAATACGGCTCAGTCGCGTGAAAAAATATCGATATTCCACGCAATGATTGAATATCCTCCAATAGGGCTCGAACGATCGCCGTAGAAACGAACGGATAATTACTACCGATCTTTCGAAGATAAAAAGAATCTTGCGCGACACGGCTTCGTTGAAATCAATAGACGATTTGTATTTGTCGTATGATTATTCTCATCGTTTATATCTCATAATTATTAAAATCTATGCAGTTATTAATGATTATCGATTCACTTCTTGATAATATATTACACTATTATGTATTACATTTATCAAATGTAAAATGTATACATACAAGATATTGAGATTTGAATTTATTAATAAATAATAAACAAACAATGAAATGAACACATATTGAATTATTGCAATGTCTCATTGACAAAGAATAATTCTTTTAAATGACTTCTTTTAAATAAGCGCAATAATAATAACGAATCATGTGACTCACTTATTGATTGCAATACTAATCTTTTAAAAATTTGTAGATTAATTAATTTATAAGTTAATTTTTAAAATTCCATAACAATAAAGTTTATTCTATATTAAAGGAATAATTATATTTTTTTAAAAAAAATTTTGACCGAACTTAAAATAATAATAAATAATAAATAAAATAAAATAATTAATAAAATAAATTTTAATAATAATAATATTAATAATATTTACAGAATAAAATTTACAGAATAAAAATTTATTTATTATTTATTTATTTATAAATTTATTTATTTATAATTTTCAATATTGAAAAATTAAAAATTTTTTAAATAGCAAAATATTTAAATAAATT